GAGGACCTCAAGACTTAGCCTCAAAACTTTCTAAAACTTTCTATTTCAAACTTATTTATGACAATGCATTTCTCACAACGCCCTTCTTCACTGGGAAGACACCACAAACTGTGCTGTTTACACTGTGAATACACACACACACAAAAAATCTTCACAAACAATGTTGAAAAAAAGAATCAGAGTTGTTCCTTTAGCCAGACTATTTTTAAATTGAAACCAATAACAAGCAGAGGAGGATTAAGGCAGAGATTAATATTCTTCCATGCTTTTCAGCTTTATAAAGCTACTTTTATAACATTCAAGCAAATTGTACAGTGACTGACATGAACAAAATGACAGTAATCTGTCACTATTTCACATTTCCCACTAGGCTGATTCAAATAGTTATTTATGAACCTTACACTTCAGTGGTCACTTTGATGACTAAACCATAAATTAGAATGTAAAGTGAATATAAATTTGATTTTAGAGTAACAACAAATTGTCAGCAAAGTGGGCTATTATTTAATTTTTATCGACACGCTAAGAAAAAGTCAGCAATACCAAGATGTGCTACATCATAATAAACCTCAACTTAGAAAAAAGATGTACACTAGATCTCATGTTTGCTTCAGTGCTTCTGCATTTAAAAATAAAATCACTTTATATTATGCTTGGTTAGTTTTAAATATAAAGTCTTAATAATGTCAGATGACTTCATTGCTTAGATCTTCAATTAAACAAGGAACAAGAATGATTTTTTTTTTCCACAGAGCATGATTAAATTTGACAGCAAGTAAATATTAATATGAATTTAAATGCTAAGGTTTTTAATAGTCCTGATGAAAAGCTTACTTTTATGACAGTGTTGCTATTTTTCCAATATTTATCTCCTGCTTTACAGCTGAAAGTGAGATAACACTGAGACATAATAGGAATTCTGCAAAGAACAACAGTTCTCAATTTTTTAGAAAAACTTTTTTTTTGGGGGGTGGGGGTGGGGAATGACACACAAAAAAATAATCCCTATTACCCAAACATCAAGTCTTGCCTGGACTCATGTGTCAAAAAAATCTCAAACTAATTTTCTTTTATCAGATTATTTTCTGTTAAAAAGTTCCACTGCCTATCATGTTGCTATGTGCATTACTGTCAGCTACTCCTGTAAACATATAACAAACATACACCCTTCCAAAACCGAATTATACTTTGGAAGATTTCTAGAAGTGTGACATAGAAGAGATACTACAACGTAAGCTTCACTGGTTTAACAGTGTTAAAAATGGAAAGTTGTGTCAGAATCTTTAATATTCCTTACTTTTCAAGTATATTTTTCCTGAAATTCTTACATGGAATGACACCAAAATGTGATCCAATTTACAACTGCTCTAGCTTTAGCATATTGGTTTCACATGTGGGAGAAATCCCTTAAATATCTGCGATTTGAAACAACAAATACACAAGCAAAACCCTGCAGGCTTAGCAATAACTGAGGCCATTCTTCATTATTCTGGTATGTCCCAATGACAAAGATAATAAGTAACAAATGCATAACAGAAATAAGTACTTAATGTAATTTGCTTGACAACAGTTCGATTACAGTATACTCAAGGTATTTGTATTAAACACTAGTTTTCTATGTTTGCAAAACTAAAACATCTGAGAGATTTTAATAATCTGAAAATTCAAGTAATGCTATTCCAGGGAACTAGCACCCTACATACCCTTTTTGCTTCTGAACATCTTCCTGGCTGAAAAATTCACACCTATGTGTAAAACATTTTAAAGCGAGATTTATGTGTTATGTGGTAGAGCGAAATGTGACTCTCAATGACGTTTCTCAATCTTGAGTCAAGAAAGATGTCTTATAAAATTTCTTTGCCATTACAACAAAGTAGCAAAACGGAAAAAAAAGTAGCATGTTAAAATGGTTCTGCTGGTGTAATGAAACAAGCAGAATCCATGCTAAGAGAAAATAACAAATCTTGTATCGCTGTCATTTTCCTGAATGAAGAATTAAATGCACAACAGTTTTACCAGTTCAAAATACAGGCCGGTATATGAAGTAGTTACCTATTGTTCATGTACAGGATTCTTAGAGATACTTATGTATGTAGAGGCACACATATATGTTTGTGCATGATCAAAAAGTTCACTAGCAGCCAATGAACACAAAATGTCCTCAAGCCCAACTACTCCTTTACAAAGGACATTGGGTATACCAGCCAGAGATTAAGCAAGCCTGACTGCTCTTCCTATTCTTTCCAAAGGCATCTGAAAGACCTATCTGATGCTGATCTGATATCTTTAGGCTAAAAGAAAACTTCATGAAAGGCGCATGACAAGGCTCACACCCTAGAAGGAAGAGTCCACCCCGTCAAGAGTCTGTTTTAGAGAAATGGTATCTTTTTTTCAGGGTCTACAGTAACAAGGTAATCTGGGTGTACACAGGACTCTGACAGGAGAGAGGAGTTTTATTTTAAAATGTCCCAGACCTGGTATGGCCTGGTGAGTCAGCAGAATCACGTTTTGTCCAAAGAAAAGCTGGAAACCTTTTATTTTAGCAAGACATACCCACCATCCGACTTAGAACTGTTTTTTATTATTTAGACTCATAGAACCAGTGAGAGACAAATCCTACCCACATCAAGTCAGGGTACCCCAAACATTAAGGTACTATAAATCAGCATCCTCCTTTCAGCATCCCAGATACATGCCTATAAAGCTGGCACAATATTTCCTACCTATTTCAAGTGCTTTCATACCTTGAAATTGAACACTTTTCAGAAAAAGGAAGTATTTGTTATTATAAAAGAGTTGTGCCAAGTAGGTCATAGTTAAGATATTTTAAAACAAAAATAAATTTAGTACACTTCAGTCATCCATTTAATGACAAAACAGTTAGTGGTAGCCTCACTAATGTTTTCCTGATTTATCCAAGATATAATGTTTACATTCTTTCTTACAATCATCACAGAGCATTTTCTGACATGCTGACAAGAATTTATCTTAGCTACAATCCAGAGGAGATTTTCTGTAGCATTTTACTGTGGGAGATCCCACATCTACAAATTGTTACTTCTTTGATGCAGACTTGCGTAAGTGGCAGAATTTGACCCTGTGTATTCTTATCTCGTCACCCCCCTGTGATGGATGCACTCCTCCTGTCTGAACTAACTGAACTTTGGTCCAGGCAGATGCTCAGCAGGTAGGCCTAACCCAAGTTAATCTTATTGTGTGAGACTACCAGTGAGAACTCAGCATCAAACTCCCCAAAAATGGTTTGGCTGGAGACTAGGCTGATAAGCAGCCTCAACTGCATTAACACAGCAGAAAATCTGACTACAAATCAGCCACTTGACACTATAAATAATCTGCAGCCATCAGGGTCCGTTAAACTCTCCCTCCATAGCAGCCGGCTGCGTGGCAGTGGTTGCTCCTTGAGTAGGGACGCCTCTCAAGGTGAGCCCTCAAGGCTGAGAGATCCCTTACCTGACACCAGACACTGATGGGTTGGTAAGTGACACTTTTTGCATGCATGTAACATTTAAGATACGTATAGTAAGCTTAAGCGATAATTTCTGTATCCCATACTAACATTAAGTGCAGTAAATAGCAAAGTATTGACCAACAATCCATCTGTATTTTAAAATATTTTACATACCCTAAATTTACTGATTAGAACTCAGTAAGCTAATCACTAGCTGAGATCTGAGCGATCTCTGACTCTTCTCCTGTGACACCCCCTCCTTCATTGCCTTTTCCAGCCTCTAATACTTCCATGGAGAATATTGGATATTAAGGCTCTCCAAGAGAAAACCTCAAAAAGAAGAACTGAAAATGCTACTCATCACCTACAGATATGAGAAAAAACATCCCATCATTTAAATATAATTGCATTGAATCAATCCAATCTGAACTGCTTCTTTGAGAAAGACTTTTAAAATACAAAAATAGCAGTGTTTGGGTTAAAAAAAGATAGCAAAGATGTGTTAGCACAAAACAACACCTGTTCCTTGGAGAAGAAATTCTAAAGAGATATAACTTGCACCAAAATATTCATACTTAACTATCAAAGGGCCCAGCTTCCTACTGAAATAAGAACCCAGCTAACTGACCTGCTGGATGTTAAAAGATTCATGTTGAAACCGACCATGGAGGAACAGGTGCACAGATTCATTTTGTATTTAATAAAAGTACTACTGAGCTCTGACTGCTGTCAGTAAGTGCAAATTTTGCAAGGAGGGGCAGCTTAAGCATTGCAAGTGCCCATAGAGAGTTCAGGATTAGAAGCTTGCTTTCTTCAGATTTCCAGCGGTCACCGTAGATAGACAGTGGGTATGTATTGAAAGTAATAAAGTATCGAAAGTTCAATGAAGTGTAATTCATGTCTAATAATATGGTACCAGGTGGAGCAGAGATTCTATAAATTCTGCTCAGACAAGGTCAGAGAAACATACTGCCAGTGATTCAACTTTTTCCAAATAAAAATCTATCACCCCGCTTAGACACATTTAGCCAGCATTTACTTAATTCACTTCAGGATTTTCTTGTTCTGCCACTGTTCTAACACTGTATCTGGATGTGGGGAAGAGCAAATACAGATTGCAAGACTATTAGGAGCATCACAGCCACTCTTCTAAACCTATGATGGGAGAAGGAAAGCGTGAGGAAAGGAATCTAATACACGAGCTAGAGAAAACAGATTCAAGGGAAAATCACGGCAGAACAGAGAAGCAGAGTGAAGACATAATAAAGCAAACAGCAGAGTAAGTAACGGAAGAGCATATAAGCTTTTGACAGTAAGGCTTGTTCCAGTCAATGGAACAAACAACCCTAAGTCCCCTATTGCAACCATTATGGATAAACATGTTTCCCACCTTCTCAAATTCAGACATACAAAAGCTACTGTTCAATCAGAGATGTTCTGATCAAGGATTTATTTTTTCTGTATGTAGTGGCATAAGGCATTTAACTGAGGACTGTAAAACTCTTAGATAAAATGAGAGAAATAAACATACCTGCCGATGAATGACCTCTAGGTTTGCTTTGGCTTTATTCACTAGTTCTTCTATTTTTTCAGAATCCTTTATATTCTTGTTTTCTCTGAAGGCATCTCTTATCCTTCTGATGGCATACATTCTAAACACAAACAATAAGACCATGTGTATTCATAGACATGCCACAGTTTATGACATTTCAACATTCTTTAAAACATACTGATTTTTAAATATATACACACACATATATATTCTGCCCAGTTTTAAACATGTGTCTTTTTATTCAGGGTCTTGTCTTGCCTGAGTTGAATCATTGATCAGATTCCTTAATTAAAAAAAAAAAAAAAGTGGTTTTACTGGAAGTTATTGTAGAAAAATTTAGTACTTCACATACCAGTCCAGTCCTTACTGCTTGTTATTGCTGTAAACATACTGTTGGATGCCCGGCATGGATACTGCAAAGCTCAAGAACATAACAAAAAGCCTGAGAACCAAAAAAACAGCCCCCAAATTATTTTGAATCAGTGCAACTATTCTTATTCTGCATACCCTAGAGGTCACTGAGCTAACCACTAAAAACATTATACGTTATTACTAGTTCTGACCTTGTAATCTAGCAGTCAAAGGTAGATAGAGTAACCACAACAAAAAGGACTCCTTCCCTGTCACCCCTTTCCTCCCCTGACAAAGTGTATTTCACCCCTTAGTCCAACACCTCCTCATCCATTTCCCCACTAAGAAGCAATAACAGGACTTGATCTCTGCAAGCAAGAAGTTATGATCTCTGCTTTCAGAGAGGACAGTCCAAAGCTGCAGCTATCTCCAAATCTCTCCTCATTCTTTTCAACCTAGTAAAGAACCTTTATGCAGTCTGTAGGTTAATACTCAATAAAAAATAGGATCCATATCACTATTAAATTAAAATTTTCAGGCTGACCAGTAGATACTTTCATTACACGTATGCTTGGTAGGGGAAGGAGAAATGGCAGTAAACTGATCCTGCTCAGTTCTCTTGATAATGTCCCACTTCTCTTCCACCACATCACATCAGTATCATTTTTACTACAGAAAGTAAAAACCCAATGTGCAGCACTGGAAGGAGAAAAAAGGCTGTTACAAACACCACAAATAGTGTAATATTTCATCAGCCATATTCAATCTTGCATAAAAGTGAAACACGAGACACAAAATTGTCTGAAACACGATCATAAACCACTCCAAAGATGATCAAAAATAAAAATACTGGGGGAGGAGCCTGAGGAGGGGAGAGGAAGAGGAGGAAAGATGAACAGCCAGCGGCACTCCGTACCATTAGATGGTGCTATCCAGCTCCTAATGCAGCCTCCCCCAGCCAAGCAGCATATTTTCTCTTTGAGTTCATAAATAATACATTTCAGTCACAGGAATCAGGATGGTTATGGAGTGCCACCCTGCTGCCGCACACCGGCAGATGGTGCGTGCTTTTAATTAGGGCCTGTTCACCTATAATGTGACACTGGGGTGCGTGAGTGAGTGAGTGTGTGTTTGTATGTGTGAAGTTAATAGAATGTATTAAATATGGAAGCTCATTCTCATCTGCAGCTGCTGTCTTAGCACAAGATTTGAAGGGGAAGCTGCTTATTTCTTCTAGAAAAGAAATATCACCAAATTATTAAGATGTAGTGTAATTTTGTTGCTTCACAATGGAGGGATTTCAAACCACCCCGTTCACATTTCTAGGGTTAAACTGTGCAGAAACATACAATATTTTCTGCAAGAAAGACAGGGTTTCCAAAAGATACAAAGACATTATATATATATACAAATTTTGTGTTTTTTTTTTTTTTTTTTAGCTTAAAAGAAAACAACAACAACAAACAGCAAGTATACATTAGTGGGTACAAGTCTTTCAAAATGCAATACAAATGACTAAATGCTACCTATGTAAAAAAGATAGATGGGACTAAACCAAATATTGTTCAGTATAACACTTACAGACTGCTTTGTTTTGTACATATGGTGCATTAATTTTTCCATTTTATCTCTTTTCCTTTCATTACAACCAACAGTTGTTGAGAAAGATGTACTTAGAAAACATCATCATAGTCAGAAAGTAGCACTGTTTTTTCTGTTTACAATTTCTTTAAACCTTTATGAATGTTAACACCCAAATTAAGTTATTTTACATAGTCTTTAACACAATCTTAATTCTACAGCTACATCAGTACACCTCCTGTATTCTCTAAGCGCACTTCAAAGACTAGCTGCAAATCCTGGCACTACTCTTTACTAAGGTTACACTGAGATTCAATATATGACTTAAAATAAGGATGAGCTGAACTCAAAGCTCAAACTCAATACTATAATGAGTGTAAAACATCCTTTCTTCCCCATTGAGAGATGCCAGGGAAACATTTCGTCAACACTGAAATTCTTTCAAAATAATGTAAAAAGTGTTAAGTCAAGATATAAACAAACTGGCAGGGTTTTTTTTTTGTTTTATTTTGTGTTTTTTTTTTTTTTTTACAACAGGTTTTTATATGCAATAACAGTTGCAAGCAGTGTCAATTCCAAACCTCAATACTCTCTACACTGCAAGAGTTTCTGAACTGAATATGTACTAAAAGCTAGTACTAAAATTAGTGCTGCGATATTGCTGCAAGTCCATGAACAACTGAGCTCTTTTGAAAAGTGAGTAGCAACATGTAGTAAAGATACACATGCTATGAAAAGAACTTGTTCATTCAGATATCTATCTTTATTTTTTTTTTTTTTTTAAGAACATTACTCCAGAGATGATCTGGTTGATAAACAGACTGGTCAGCTGATCAGCTGCTCTAGTGGTGTGTATTTTCAGTTCAGTAACCATAAACACCAAAACCAGTCATGTACCATTTGAAGGCATGGCTTGAAATGCCAGTGGTAGAGAATATACAGCTATCTTCATAAAACTTCACAACATTAACCTAAAAGAAACACTATCTGAAGACAGAGTGACAGATGAAAAGCATACCTGCAAATGAAGTGGTTGCTGTACCTTATGGATGATTATTTACCCAAGCTGGCACAAAGGAACTGGAGGGCATACAGCATCACAATGAGTTTAAGCCAATGTGAGTGGAGGGGAGCTGTTGCAATTTTGCCACCCTCCCCATTAGGCACAAACCCTCCCTCTGCCTCCTTCAGATCTTCACTTCAGAGACAGTCTGATATTTGGCCCTGAGGTGAGCCAGTCCAACTTGGCAACCTGACAGAAGGCCAACTTCTTTATTAGTGGTTTGTTTGTTTGGTTGGTTGTTTTTTTTTCCCCTCCTTGGATTAGCAAACTCTATCAGTTCTGCATGGGACTGGATGAACATTAGTGCTGAGCAGGAGGGAACACAACAGTACTAATTTAGATGGATATAGTTTGCAATAGATTCCACTCAGAGAGGCTGAGCAAGTCACATAAACAAAGGGAATTCTTCAGCGAGAAGGTACCAAGCAAGCTCTTCCAGAGAAAAAGAATGTGAAAGCAATTGTGTGTACTGTACAGTCAAACAGCTCCTACAGGCCTTGGGAAAAGTCCTAAGCATGCAGTGTTCATTAACACATACCCTGTTCATTAACAAACGTCATGGCAAATGAGAACTCAAGCTGCATTTCACACTGCACATCACCATTCTTTGGAAACATACCGAAAAATGACTGAAAGATGCAACAAGGCATTTTCTTTTCTTTTTGTCATCCAAGTGCGCTGAACTCTTAATAGAGAACATCTTTGATTTTATCTTCTTCAAACACCTTCTAGCAAGCTAGTGACAAAAGGCCCCAAGCAAAAGTGTACAGTTGAATAAATTCACTCAGTGCTCTCTTACATATGCACACTCAAAACGCTTTTCACGATCCCTGCTTACATGCATCTGTCACACAATTAACTCTCAATTAAATCAAAATTATGTACTCAATGGTAACAGACTCAGTGTGATGGCTTCAGACCAAAGCCACTGCAGGTGGATGGCTATGCAAGGCAACAGATGCACATCAGTAGAAAACAAAAAGAGTGGTTGGGGGCTAATGCCAGGGCCAGAGCATTGCCACAGACTCACAGGGAATGGGCACTACCTGCTAATGTTAAGAGTCAACAATGTTGCCAAATAATAATAAAAACTACAGAGTTATGGTTAAAAACCAGTCTTTTCCCTGACAGTCAATCATTCACCTCTACCTTCAAAGAGTTCATCTTTTTCTTTCCCCAAAGCACAATCAAAAAACTAACATGTGTCCTCATAAAAATGAAGCCTACAATAAGCCAAGTCTGAAACAACAGAAGGAAAAATAAAATTGCAACAGAAGTACTTCAGAAAATAATAGCTGCTTGGGGATTTAGATATTTTTATTTCAAAATGTTTACTTATGTCATGCCTGACCAGAAAAAAAAAAAAAATCCATTTCCTTTTCAGGTCTTCACTCTTGAATCTTGAGTGCTCTGCTAGAGCGTAGGAAAAGAAGCTGAAACACTGTGCAGACACACCTGCTTTTAAGTACACAGTACTATGTCTTCAAAATAAACCTGCCCAAGCATTGTTTTTCTCAGCACCACTTTGCATTTACCAGTATCACAACATGCTAAAGGTGTAAGTCATCTTTTCAAGACACCTTTACAAACATGTTGACATCTTGTCTTTGTGACCGTGAACAAATATAATGTATTAATAGATCACATCACGGTTATAGGCAACATGCTGTGAAACATAGTGGCTACAACGAATTCTAAGTCATTGAGCACATACGCAAAGATAACAGAGGAGGACTGTGGTCCACAACACGGGGAAGCAAAATAGTTTACAAGGGAAGAGGCCAGAAGGTTAGAAAATTCAAGACTTTCAAAAAAGGTACAAAGTAAAGTGTTTTTTTTCCTCATTAGCTTAAGTTGTATTTAATAAATTAAGGCAAGTGATCAGTAGCCAACCTCTAGGAAGCCCACTGTGGTTAATAATTCTGAAATGAAGTATATGATGCTTTTATTTAAGGACACAATTTGCAAAAGTGAGATACTGATTTACAACACAGTAATACTTTATAAAAAGGGTCTCTCGATACAAAATCATTGTTTCCTTTCACTAATTATATTTTCTTACCACTTCTCCTTTCCAATTAACATCTATTAACTTAAGGTAGAAA